AGTGACTTAAGCCCTCAGTTGTATTGTTTATTTGTGAAATAAATGGGTAAAACTAACGTTTATGTTATCTAACGAGGTAGGTAACAGGTTACTCACCGATACACAGGCAGGCTATCAGCTTAGCCCCCGTCTCGGGGACAGGACAGAAGGGAAAGATGGGCTTCAGGAGGTAGGTAGCGAAAACATAGGCGACAATATACTGCGAGGACGGCCTGATGATGAGAAGCTCGATCCAGAGTTTCAGAAACGCAGGTAGGGAGCCGTAAACTTCAAGGATGTAAGCGTAGTCACCCCCAGATTTGGTGATGGTGGTCCCCAGTTCGGCATAGCACAGAGCGCCTATGGTGGAGAAGACCCCGCATACAGTCCACACGACCAGCGACAACCCGACTGAACCAGCTTCTTTCACCACTCCCGTCGGTGTAACGAAGATGCCAGAGCCAATAATGGTGCCTACAATAATGGCCACGCCGTTCACAAGAGTAATAGTTCTTTTCAGCTCTACTGTCTCTTCTCCATCCGCAGAGGTAATATCTGCGGTCGGGCTTTCAGGCGTGCCGTCTCCTGGTCGGCTCATGTTGCCATTCCCACCTCTACTGGAGAGCATCTTCTCCGTCACCTGCTTGTCGTCTTCATCCCGGTCCGCAGATGCATTTGAACTCCGTTTCTTCAACCCTGACATTGCTTCCTCTTGTCAAACAAAGCCAGACGCTTTGTTTTTCTCTATTACGTGTGAAAATTACGCGTTCAGCTCCGTCGGATTGGGCTTGGCTGATACACGGTGGTACCGTAGTGTCCGCTCTGACTCACAGAAACGTGGTTTCTGAAATGTGTCAACGTTGTAGAGGCACACAAAAGCATCTCCTGACTTGGCCTGCCTCTTTCCTCCGCGTCATCATTAAGTGTTATATTTGAGGTTTATATCGCCCTCTAGAGTCTCCTTTCCTGAAAGAAATCCCTGTTACTCGGCGGTCCAGCAGGTTGAGCATGTTGTATAGGCTACTTGGATCAGGGCTTTTCCTAATTGTTCAGTTTCGGTTGAAGCCTTAAGTACGGTGACGAGAGAGCTCAACGCGCTGCAAATAGAAAAAACACCTGCAAATTAAGAAAACATCTTCATCAATTTGACAACACACAATAAAAAAAAAAATAAAAAGCAAATGCTCACAACACAACCAAATAAAGAAATGCGCTGCAAAAACAGAAATGCGCTGCAAATGCTCACAACACAACCAAATAAAAAAACGCGCTACAAAAATAGAAACGCGCTGCAAATGCTCACAACACAACCATTAAGAAAACATCTTCATCAATTTGACAACACACAATAAAAAAAAAAATAAAAAGCAAATGCTCACAACACAACCAAATAAAGAAATGCGCTGCAAAAACAGAAATGCGCTGCAAATGCTCACAACACAACCAAATAAAAAAACGCGCTACAAAAATAGAAACGCGCTGCAAATGCTCACAACACAACCAAATAAAGAAATGCGCTGCAAAAACAGAAACGTGCTGCAAATGCTCACAACACAACCAAATAAAAAAGCACGCTGCAAATGCTCACAACACAACCAAATAAAAAAGCGCACTACAAAAATAGAAACGCGCTGCAAATGCTCACAACACAACCAAATAAAGAAACGCGCTGCAAATGCTCACAACACAACCAAATAAAGAAACGCGCTGCAAATGCTCACAACACAACCAAATAAAGAAATGCGCTGCAAAAACAGAAACGTGCTGCAAATGCTCACAACACAACCAAATAAAAAAGCACGCTGCAAATGCTCACAACACAACCAAATAAAAAAGCACGCTGCAAATGCTCACAACACAACCAAATAAAGAAACGCGCTGCAAATGCTCACAACACAAC